ATTGTACCTCGCTGCCCGCATAATACCGACCCGGCCTGTCGGACCACGCATACCGTACCCGAGCATCCATCCATCCGGCTCGGATCAGACCTGTGTACCAGTCTGCCTCTTCCAATTAGATTCCGTCCCTGATCTCCCCTGTCAGTACTCTCTACCACCGCAGGACGCACTCGGGGGTCGTGACCTGGTTCCAGTCTGCATCAAGTCCATCCCCACCATCAGGGGCTCGGTGAACCGCAACCGCAGACTCCGCGCCCTGAGGACGTCCGTGCGGTGGGCTGCTAGAGACTCTGCCAGGCGGATTATAACACAGTGGACGATTCAGACCTGCTGTCTCAGGACCTATATTGCACCCAGCTCTGTCTCCTAAATTTGACGGCATGGCTATTGAGACCCAAATCTTAAAAGATAGGGGAGTGTCAGGCTTGGTTATCCACACAGTGTTGAACTGTAGGAAGCTGGTTTCTAGGAACATTTATTATAGAACTTGGAAGGCATACATTTCCTGGTGTGAAGTCTAAAAATGGCATCCACGGAAATATTTGACTGGGAGACTTTACTTTTATCCAATTAGGAGTAGAGAAGAGGTTGGCTGTTGGTACTATTAAAGTCAGGTTTCAGCTTTGGCCGTTTTTTTTTCCCCAAAGACCCATTGCTTCTCACTCTTTGGTTTGTCTTTTTTTACGGGGAGTGATGCATACTGTTCCTCCTGTCAGACAGCCCCTATGTCCTTGGGACTTGAACTTCGTCTTGACAGAAAACCACCATTTGAGCCTTTCATGGAAATTCCATTAGTTCTGCTAACTCGGAAAATTCTGTTTTTGGTGGCAATCACCTCTGCAAGAAGGGTGTCAGTGTTGGCAGCTCGGTCTTGTAGAGAAAAATTTTTGGTTTTGCATCAGGATAAGGTGGTGTGGCTCCCTCATCCATCTTTTTTGCCAAAGGTGGTTTCTAGTTTCCATTAAATCAAGACATTGTACTTCCCTCCTTCCCTCCTTATTCCTAGGCCTCAGTCAGCAAGAGAAAGATCTTTACATGCTCTGGATGTGGTTCAGGCAATAATAGTCCTTTTGAGAATGACGGCGCAGATTAGGCTGATTCCTTGTTTATTTTGCCAGAAGGATCCAGGTGGCATCCAAATAAATTATTTCTAAGTGAATTCACCAGTTAATCATTTAAACCTATCGTTTGAAGAGCAAGGTCCCACCCTTTCTGGTGAGAGCACACTCTACCAGGAGTGCGGGGGCAACTTGGGCTACCCGCCACCAAGCGTCAGTTGCTCAGGTTTGCAAGGCTGCTACATGGTCTTCGGTTTATACATTCACAAGGTATTGCAAACAGCTGAGTAGCTCCTTTTGGGATTGATGGCGGTGGCTATTGTGATGTCACCCACCCCTCAAGGTTTTATTGCTTTGGGACGTCCCACATTCTTATAGCCTGCTCTGTGTCCCGTGATGTACTATAAAGGAAATTGGATTTTGTCTGCATGCTTACCTTTTAAAATCCATTTCTTGGAGTACATCACGGGACACAGAGGTCCCTCCCCTCTTTTCTATATTTTCATTGCTTGCTACAAAAAAAAAAGTACTTCTTGTGTGTGTAGGAGGGGTTATATGGGGGAGGAGTTCCTGTTTGATTGTTTGGCCAGTGTCCATTCACTTATAGGTGGCATATAACCCACAGTCAGTCAGTCATAGCCTGTACTCCAAAAAATTATATTTTACAGGTAAGTGTGTAGAAAAAAATCCAATTTTTACTGCAAGTCAGCCTGACAGGGTTACGTTATTAAATGCAAATCACAACCATCTTTTGACTTAATTTGCTGCTTTCAAATGCCCTCATATGACCTTTTTTAGAGAGCGTCTATCATTGAACTTGGAGGACGGAGAAACTAATGCTGACATGCCCTATAGAGTCAAGTGAAATGTGAATTAATGATAGGTTCTCTTTAAATAACTACATTTTTAGGAGTAGAATCATTCCTCAAGTTTCACAAAGAGAAAGCTCTACTACCATAGATCATAAATACTCAAGTTTAAGTTTACTTTAACTAGATTTATTACAAAAGACAATACATAGATAAATATTGGTTGTGATTGAACTTGGTATATTGGCCAATGTCAACACAGCTTATCTAATTTTAAAATTAACTAGACTTGGCTGACCTCTAATAATTCCCTGTTGGGATTTAACCACGATTTTAACCTTTGTAGAAAATGGGCAGAGATAGCCGGGACAAGGTACAGATTTATGCCGGCCTATTTAGAAAAGCTTTTTATTCACAAAAGCACCATTTTTTATAATTACATTTAAAGCAGAAACATTTTTATTTTTGACGCAGTGACATAAAGTACATTTCAGTATAATCCTTTATTTGGGGAAACCAAGGTCTGAGCAATTCTTATACAACTTTGAACAGAGTTGTCCATAGTACTAATAGAAGTGTGTAGCAGTGAGGCCAGTTGTCACATCTGTCTTCCTACAATAACACTATTAATTTTAAAGAGATGTAATAAGGCCGTAGTTGATTTAATCCACTCACTTTTACCCAGATAACTGGTTCATTTAATAAACTACCCTGTGCTGCCTATACCTACACTCTTTTTACTCAGTTGCCACCTATTTGCCTACTGGAGCAAAAACAAAAGTGTAAGCTCAAAGTCTTTTGGATTGGAACTTGTCCCTTGCACCCCCACATGACATCTCTTGACCCTCTCTTGGCTGCTAAGGAGTCCAGCGATGCAAACCGTGGGAGAAAAGGCAGTGGGTCACTTGCTTCCCAATACTTGGAAGTACCACTTATTTCAGTCTCTGCATTGGCAAAGTACACGTTTTTATGTGGCCATATATCATGATAAAATCAAGTGAAATCATTGATTGAAGAATAATTTGTAATGATTTAGTCATATAGGGATTAACAGTTGAGCAATGAGCACTTGTGAATGTTGCAAGTGATCGTTATTGCATGCAGCAAGCTTCCAACATGTTGGAAAACCTGTGCACAAAGGATTGCTGATCAGTCTCTTTTTTTATGGAGAAAGGGGTTAAAAACGGTTTTCTACATGTACAGATGACTGCATCCCTGGCCACAGGTAGCTGCTGGATGTGCATGGATACGTGTGACAGCTTTTCACAACCACCTGCGATTCCTACCACAAGAATTCTTTGTTCAGACCTTATAGGACGTGTGAATGAGGCCTAAGTCTTAAAATGAATCTATGATCAAAATGTAAAATCATCTATTAATTCTCCACATTGTAGTTCATCTATTTCTATCCTACTCCTATTAGTCTGAAGGAACACAATGGAAATGTATTATGTGAAATGTGAAGATCCCCAAACATATTTCCTTATATTCTGCGACACGTATTCACTATGCCCTGTGAATATTCATGGCCTGTGACAAACACACACATCATAGAAATATATACATCAAAGGAATGAGCAGAAGAGAAGCTACAAGGCATGCAGGGAATACAGGAAGTTGTGGAAAGAGATGGCCAGCAGACAACCATAATAAAGTAGATTCTTTAACCACCTCCTGCCTGCCATATAGTAATATGACGGACGCAAGGTGGCTTTCTTCTTCTGGGAGGACATCATATGACGTCCTCCCATTCTAACCGCACGTGAGTGGCTCCCGCAGCGAGGCGATCGGTGCTGCGCTGTGTCCCTCGGACACAGCGGATCACCGATCCACGGAAAGAGCCGAAGATGTCGGCTCGGTCATGTGATCAGCTGTGTCCAATCACAGCTGATCACATGTAAACAGGGAAATGCCGGTTATCGGCATTTCTCTCCCCACGAGCTGTCATGCTGACAGCTCGTGAGGAGAGACGGTAATTGGCATTCCTCGGAGGGGACATGTACACAGATCATCAGGGCACTGATGATCAGTGTGCCCTGATGATCTGTGTAGCCCCAGCAGCGCCACCTGTCAGTGTCCATCAGTGCCAGCTCTCAGTGCTCATCCATGCCACCTGCCAGTGCCACATAGTGCCCATCTGAGCTGCCTTTCAGTGTCACCCATCAGTGCCACCTATCAGTGCCAGTCAGTGCCGCCTATCAGTGCGCATCAGTGCCGCCTATCAGTGGCCATATATGAGTGCTGCCTTTCAGTGCCCATCAGTGATGCCTGTCAATGCCCATCAGTGCCACCTATCAGTGTCCATCAGTGCAGCCTATCAGTGCCCATCACTGCAGCCTCATTAGCGCACATCAGTGAAGGAGAAAAATCACTTATTTACAAAATTTTATAACACAAACTAAGAAAAAAATCTCTATCTGTCACAAAAAAATGATAAAAATTTCATATGGGTACAGTGTTGCATGACCGCGCAATTGTCATTCAAAGTGCAACAGCGCTGAAAGCTGGAAATTGGCCTGGGCAGGAAGGGGGTATAAGTGCCCTGTAGGCTAGTGATTAAGTAAGATTATATTGGATTATCAAAAATAACTATTGTTTGTATTGCTATTACAATGCTGATGTTCTAAAATTAAAGTGTGTGCAGTAACTATAAATCTTGTTTAAGGCCCCTTTCACACTAGTGGTCCAATCACGTCCACCTGTCCCATTTTTTTGGCAGACCTGATCGGACCTTTTATTCTCCTCTATGGAGCTGCGGATGTAAATGGATTTGGGTGTGTTTACACCTGCCTACATCTAATCCAACATAAACAAACTGAAGGGGATCCGTTCCCCTCCGTCTGGGCAGATTGGATCAGAGGGCATTTGGGTGTAAACGAACAGCTAGCCTAGTTCATTTACATCTGACCGCCCATAGAGCAGAGTTGGCTTTGTCCATGCTCAGCGGGTGATCAGCGAACAGATTCCACACCAATCAAAACTGATGCACCCCATATGAAAGTGGCTTAAATTGTATTTTTAAATGTTATTAACAGTTGTGGTTTGTGAGTGTAAATTATTGTAACAATCCGTACTTGGTCCTTTAAATTTATATTAAGTCTTTCACATTGATCCCCTTTTTTGTTCTGTACAGATTGAGGAAGCTCTGATCCGACGAAAGAAAATGGAACTCCTGCAAAAGTATGCCAGCGAAGCCCTAATGGCACAGAGTGAAGATGCCAAGCGACTTTTAGGCATATAATATTGTAAATACTAAAAGCAACTCTTCAGATCCTTGTATATTTCCCATGTTTTGTTACTTTTTGTACAGATGCTCGAGAGAAAAAATATAGACTGATTTTTGTACGATCTGGTATGGTGGTCTGGTTTTTAGACCTTGAGTTGGACGTGGGTATTACAATCAGGTTCTTTTTGGCTCACATTTTACACTTTATTGGGCAGATCATAGTAACAGACAGTACATACCGTGCCTTGAAAAAGTATTCATACCCCTTGAAATGTTCCACATTTTGTCATGTTACAACCAAAAACGTAAATATATTTTATTGGGATTTTATGTGATAGGCCAACACAAAGTGGCACATAATTGTGAAGTGGAAGGAAAATTATAAATGGTTTTCAAATTTTTTTACAAATATCTGAAAAGTGTGGCATGCATTTGTATTCAGCCCCCTTTAATATGATACCCCTAACTAAAATCTAGTGAAACCAATTCACTTCAGAAGTCACCTAATTAGTAAATAGAGCCCATCTGTATGTAATTTAATCTCAGTATAAATACAGCTGTTCTGTGAAGCCCTCAGAGTTTTGTTAGACAACATTAGTGAACAAACAGCATCATGAAGGCCAAGGAACACACCAGACAGGTCAGGGATAAAGTTGTGGAGAAGTTTAAAGCAGGATTAGGTTATAAAAAAATTTCTCAAGCGTTGAACATCTCACGGAGCACTGTTCAAGCCATCATCTGAAAATGGAAAGAGTATGGCACAACTGCAAACCTACCAAGACATGGCTGCCCACCTAAACTGTCAAGCTGGGGAAGGAGAGCATTAATCAGAGAAGCAGCCAAGAGGCCCATGGTAACTCTGGAGGAGCTGCAGAGATCCACAGCTCAGGTGGGAGAATCTGTCCACAGGACAACTATTAGTCAGGCTTTCCACAAATCTGGCTTTTATGGAAGAGTGGCAAGAAGAAAGCCATTGTTGAAAGCCATAAGAAGTTCCTTTAGCAGTTTGCGAGAAGCCATGTGGGAGACACAGCAAACATATGGAAGTAGGTGCTCTGGTCAGATGATACCAAAATTGAACTTTTTAGCCTAAAAGTAAAACACTATGTGTGGCAGAAAACTAACACTGCATATCACCCTGAACACACCATCCCCACTGTGAAACATAGTGGTGGTAGCATCATGTTGTGGGGATGCTTTTCATCAGCAGGGACAGGGAAGCTGGTCAGAGTTGATGGGAAGATGGATGGAGCCAAATACAGGGCAATCTTAGAAGAAAATCTGTTAGAGTCTGCAAAAGACTTGAGACTGGGGCTGAGGTTCACCTTCCAGCAGGACAACGACCCTAAACATACAGCCAGAGCTACAAAGGAATGGTTTAGATCAAAGCATATTTTTATGTTAGAATGGCCCAGTCAAAGTCCAGACCTAAATCCAATCGAGAATCTGTGGCAAGACTTGAAAATTGCTGTTCACAGACGCTCTCCATCTAATCTGACAGAGCTTGAGCTATTTTGCATAGAAGAATGAGCAAAAATGTCACTCTGTAGATGTGCAAAGCTGGAAGAGACATATCCAAAAAGACTTGCAGCTGTAATTGCAGTGAATGTTGGTTCTACGAAGTATTGACTCAGGGGGGCTGAATACACATGCACGCCACACTTTTTAGATTTTTGTTTGTAAACAATTTTGAAAACTATAATTTTTCCTTCCACTTCACACTCATGTGCCACTTTGTGTTGGTCTATCACATAAAATGCCAATAAAATACATTTACTTTTTTGGTTGTAACCTGACAAAATGTGGAAAATTTCAAGGGTTATGAGTACTTTTTCAAGGCACCGTAAGGGATTTAAAATATTTTATTGAGAACAATCTCCGGCTTATCTACACAGTTCATGTCATTCATTTGTCCATCTCTGTGTTACAGTATGTTGTTTACTCTTTGGTCTAAATGCCAAGAGTTGTTTAAATTTCTGCTTTGGTTGTTTGAACAGCAAACTCCATTTTGTTCTTCTAATGAAGAGTATTAGATGAGCGTTGTTTTTCTTCTCAAAATGGATATCGGAATACAGGCCTATGAAAATATTATTTAGGCCCTGACTGGCAATTGCCTAGTACCAGCATGGCTGGTATATGTGAAAGGATCCACAGCTCTGTGTCACCCCAATGGTGGTTTGGTATCTGCTTCTCTTTTCTCTTCTCCTCTCCGAAAGCAGCAGTTGGAGAAGCTCTACCTTGAGGTGATTGTAACCACTTGCAAAAAGAACAATTGAGTAATGTTCTTGATACTTTTTTAATTTGCAATAACATACAAATTTTCAGGTTGTGCCCTCTACTTCAAGGTTCAAGCAGTAGTGTATTAGTACTGCTTGGACCTTGAAGAAGAGGGCACACCCTGAAAGTTTGCCATGAAAATTAGAATCTCCACCAAAACTTTTATTAGCGGAGGAAGGGTCTGAACCTCTGTCAGATTTTTGTTGATTTCACTGCTGAGGAAGGATCCCTAGTGCCTAAAATGTTACTGGGACTGGAAGTGGAAAAACTCACCAAGTGTGATACGACTACAAAATCATTACACAGGATTTTCCCTTCAGCAGTCCAAAACAAAAAAAAAACCAATTACTGGAGTTTAGGCATCTGTCTTACCTACCTGCTGTAGTGGTTCACATATTGAGACGCCACCGCCCCTCCTTCCCACCTCAGGCAACCAGAGAAAGACTTATATTCCTTGGAAAAAAATACCAAAAGGCATTATGTGAATGGTGCAGTGTCAAGTGTGTGACCCCTGTGGTCAGTGTGCAATGGGGCAGTCGCTTGTAAACAACCTGAGCAGGACCCATAACATTGTGTATATTGCTGTAGTAGCGCCAACTACTACAGTGATTTCTGGCTTCCCCAGTGGCTCATTGGGTATAAAATATGCACATTTATATTTAATGGTGCACCAAAATGAAAATTGTGGACTGAAACTGAAAGTTCAGGATTCACTTAAAAAAATAAACTGAAATGGACAGTTTTTACAAAAAAATTTTTTTTAATATATAATTGTATTATATTGGACTTTTTAATTATTATCATGAATTTAAATTACTTTGGATTTTAAAAATACAATCCAGTAACGTAAAATAACTTTCATTGAAAGTAACACACAAAAATTGGACAGAAAATAAATTGAAAAAGCGCCCCCTATTGACTTCAATGCAAAAAAAAATTTCTATTCAAGTGTGTGTGTGTGCGTGCGTGCGTGCGTGCGTGCGCGTACACATATAATTAATTAAAAAAACTTGAATAGAGATGTTTTTGCATAGAAGTCAATAGGGGGCGCTTTTGCATTAAAGTCAATGAGACGCAATTTTGCATTGCAGTCCATTATCATTATCGGCACCTTTTTTTTTTTTTTTTTTTCTTTTCTTTTTCAATCTGCAAAATGCAGATAACCCTGTTTTCACCCGATAATTTTCGGTGGTCAATATATCGGTGCATCACTACTTACATTGTGCCAAGCTGGTCCAATGTAAGTAGGCAATGAAGATCATAACTCAGATCCAGTTTGATATATTTCTTAGTTATTTTTCACTATAGATCTGTAAGCTGTAGCAAATTTTTACAGCTTACATTTATAGTTTTTGTTATTTTTTTTTGTAACAAATGAATTCAATATATACAGTGCAATAACACATGAACACATTTTTAGTCTTTTATGCAAACCGCAAATCAGATTTAGCAGACACAGCTGGTTGATTTGATTTCCAGTATATACAAATAGCAATGATAGATCCCTGTAGCACATTGTATTAGGGTGTTGGCAGTCTGCCTTTCAGGCTCCTGAACAGTGGAATCATTAGCATATCTGTATGATAAAAGGGAAATGCAAAACCATGCTGTGATAGAACCCACAGTGGCTACAGCAGTATCAGAATGAACTTTTCTTCATCTGCTAGAAAAAGGAGGATGTAAAATTTAAGATGATTTGAGCAGTGGGGGGCCTTGTCGGCACCACCCAGCTCAACAAACTTCAATTGAAAACCAAAGGAGCTGGGTGTATAGTTATCAGCTGAACAGTAATTTCATTCTATCAGATGTAGTCATTGTCTGGGTATTTAAAGCAGAAGTACACACTAGCAGTTGGGGGAATGGTAATACCCTGTGATTGAGCTTTTGCTTTTACTGCCTGCAATTGCTACCCCCTTTAGCTGCAGAGGCAGGGGGTGTACACATGCTACAGTGCATTGCTTTACTACCGCGGCAGGAATTATACCTCTGTTGCTAAGCCCACCGAACGTGATCCATTCAAGTGAACGGAGCTGCTCTGTAGGTGTCCCACTACTTTGGGGTTGAAGGGGCTAAAACAGATGATGAGGAGCCAATACAATGCCTCTTTGGCAGGTTTACTTCAAATAATTAACACTCTCTCAGTTCCCTGTTCATGGTGTATCTCAAAAGAAGCTGTCCACACCGAAATATAAGATGGTGACCTTGCTGACTCTTTTTTGCAGGTACAAGTTCCAGGGCTGTCCTCCCCATTCATGGATAAGTACTTAGGGTTACTCCATATATGATTGCCTATTCGCATGTTTTTGGTCAGTAACTCAATATGCAGAGTATCAAGGATGAGAATGAGATCCTGGGAGCTTGTACCTTGAAAGATGTCAAAGATGTCTTGATGGGCTGCTTTTAAATAGATTAAATAAAATGTTTTGGCTTTAAATACAATTTAATTTCTCTCTTTCAGGAATTCCTAACATAGGATCAGAGTATATCTCCATTTACATGAATAGACAGGGGTAGATAGTGCCCCACATTCCAACTCGGCTGAAGGCCGCCTCTGGACGCAGGGGCATTCTGTACTGTGGCAACATACAAACTGACCAGTTATCTTCAGGCCAGTTTGTGTGTGGCTAGGAACTTCACAAAAACACACAATGGATGCATCCAGGGTTGTTCAGAAGCTCTATTTGCATGTAACGGACTGTTTGGATGAGCAGCACTGCTCATTGATTTGTGTAGTGAAG